GTGTCAAAGCAATTATATTTCCAGCGATTGTAGGCTACAAAAATTTGTTCCTCTAATTTAAGTAACAAAAAAGTTCTGCGCCATTTACATATATATGTATATATTATATGTACATTAACATATCACGTGCTGATAATTCGAAGAGTTTTCGCCGATTTAGAAACTGGAGCGTTCTCGTGCTCCGATCGGTGGCTGCGACGCGGCCGACCTGACACTGACATTAACCACCGTGAAAGCGATTTATCGCTTCCCCAGTTATCACTATGGAGGAGAACGGGATATGAGTCCCCCAGAATACTCCGCCGCAACGAAGTTACACGTGGCAAACTTTCTCAATATATACATACCTATACGTATATTTAGTAATTCCAACTTATGATTTTCAAAATAGCTCATTGAACTTTTCTCATTATTAATAATTTTGTCCATTTAAACTCAATAAACTGAATTAAAAATCAATTAACATTGTGCCAGAAATACAAATAATCAAAGTTAAACAAATCTCTATTTTAGCAAATTTCTTTTTTAATTAACTATTGAACTTTACTAAAGATTATTTAACGATCAACAATCACTAATATACATATACGAATTTTTGCTAAGAAAAAATCTAAGTCTTTTTGTTAAATAAATTTGTCAAATTCAAGCACATAAACGTTCATATACGCAAAATGACCTGAGCCACAAAGATGATACTAACACCAATCATTGCGGCTGGAAGTTGGATACACAGGTGCCCGCGCACACGTAGCGTCCGTCACGGTCGGCAATAGACTTAAATCCTGATTGGTTGGACAGCTAGTTGGAGACTGTGTGAAGTATACAGGTATACTGAGGGGAGCGTTTTTGGTAGGACGAGAGCAGATATATGTATATATATATATATGGGATATAGCGTCCATATATACATATATATACACCGGGTGGCAATAAAGGATTCCGACAAGGATGGATGGTAAGAGGGGGAAGTTCGCTCCATTGTTCCCGGTGGAACCCAAACGCCATCCATAAGGGTGCCTCCCATTATCCGGCACGTATCTACCACACGCAAACACCTCAACGCGCTCGTGCTCGTACACGCGAAGAATACCCGGAGGCTTGCCCGCCCTAAGATCGAGTATACGAGAGCTCAGATGCATGGCGCGGCGGCGCGGCGCCTTTCACGGTGTGCAGAGTTGTATCTACATGGCGGCCAACTGTGCCGCCAAGTAATAAGAGCTCTAATCTCCCACGAAATTGTGAAGTTGAGAGAAAAATTTATAAGGCTCCGAAGTTGGAACGGTCGTGTCATGCGTTAACAGAAAGCGTCTTGGAAACTGCGGAGAGCTGTGCAGATTCGCATATTTCTCATAAAAATTCGGAGAAGATAGAGATAAATAATAATCGAAACAGCCTGACAAAATGTTGGAGACATCTTAACTGTCTAAAATTAATGCACCGCTTTCGATATTTAATTCTTTTTTAAGTATTTCTTTAATTTACAGAATAAAACTGTTATACGTATATAAATCAGATAGAATATTCATGTGTTAAGCCTCTTTCTTCACAAGAATATGAAATAAAAAAGTATAGCAACATTACTTTTTTTTAATTTATGTTGATGGTTAATGGTGGAATTCTCGATTAATCTTTTTGGTCCCGTTATGAAATTACTGAGAGTGCTAAATTTCGTATGACATGTAGGCACTGTCGCGTGTGTAATACGAGCATGTAGATAGCACGTAAATATAATTGAGTGCTCGTGAACGAGGTGTGTAAATGTCACTACACTTCTATAAAATCGTTAACTCATTCGTACGCCGAAGAAATCCCGGTAACAATCTATTCCTCGTATATGGGTAACATCACGCAACTAAGTGTTCGCGTAAAATTGGTAAATTTACTCAAATAAAATAGTGTATACGTTTCAAAAATTTAATGCAACCGATCGCATAATTTTTATTATTCGATTATGTATGCCTTGCGTGTTAATTACATTACACGTATATTAATTTAATTTATCTTACCAAAGAATTTCTGAAAGCAGTTGGCAGCGGCAGACTTAAAAATAAACTTGTTGGCAAAGCGCCAGACTCGAAATACACGCAGTCTCATCTGGAAGGTGAGGACCGATACAAAACAAGGTTAAATTTTAATTTTGAAAAAAAAAAATAAAATATTAGAATACCGTTGGTAAACATTCCTTCCCCTCTTAAAGGTCATAACGGAGGCTTGCTACCCTCTATATTCTGACTAACGGTCCCCACTCCTGCCTGCGACAGGGCAACAGCGCGAACAGCTACCCCCATAGAACCCCTAAGACTCTAATTACAGCCTTTGCATCCCCACCATTCCCTCTCTTTCTATCTCTCTCACGCCCTGCATCGCCCTTTCCGACCATTCTCATATTTTCCGACACTCCCTGTGCTACCACACTTCACTACAATCCACCCCCTATGCCATTACATGCAAATGCCACGGTTGTCTCTTTCCGCTAATAAAAGTCGTGCCCGTGCAATTTAGAACATCCGATGTTGGGCTACTATGGCTTCCGAAAGATACAAAACGAGACACGGAATAAGTCTGAAAAGACAGCGCGATGTCAAGGGTTATTATACTCATTAGTAAGGTTGAAACGCAAAGCAGATACACAGAACTATGACTGTACGCAACTCGATGAAAAAGTTAAATAGGCTTAAAATTGTACAATTGTATTTAATATTATTTCACCAAAGTACATTAAAAGTAACTAAAGATTAAAACCAAGAGAAAAAACAATTTGCAACTAGTTATGAATATTATTTTCCGTTAATTTTTTATTTATAAAAGTTAACATTAAACAAAATATATTCTCTCTGTCAATAAAATTCGATTACTTATCATCAAATCATACATCAATAAATCGCAAAGTTTATATCTTAAATTGTGGGCAAAGACATTGCCTACTAAGAACAATATGATTTTATATGCGTGTCGTCGTAGTGAGAAACGTTAAGATCCACATAATGTTTAATCAGAGCACGTTGCGGCTTTACGACATTAGCCGGTGTTACGCACCCTCTTTCACCCTTTTCCAACCATCCCTACTGACATCATGCGACCTGGATACTTGTTAAAATATCGAGGAACTCTCTAAATTTTCCAGTCATTTTGGACTTTATAATTCCGAAATAGTCGCTATAACTTTCAAAAATCACGATGAATTTGCTTTCTGCAATCGTACATTCTGTTTCTTTTCAAAGGAATCTTTATAGCAATATACATTTATATGTATATGTATATATAGCACGTTAAATCGCTGTCAAATTGTGCTTTTTAACGCAAAACCCGGAGGTTAATAAAAGACGTTACATATCGTAATCTTACGTACTTATCGTATTCAAATTTGATAGACGTATTAAAGAGAGATCTATTAACACATCCCGCCAGACTTGTTGCTGATGGCTTTAACCGATGACAACTCAATCAACAAATACTTCTCGCTGACCTTCCCTTTTATTAGGATAAATTTAACTACCAGCAACCGAAATCCTTGACTTTATTGAGTCTGATAGCTTATAATATACTTCTATCAAGATTAAGACAAACGTCATATATATAACCAAGGCATCCAAGGCATATAACGTATATAAAAATAATGTATGTTCTGATTTTATGTCAATAGAAAGTATTTGCCTTTAGATTCATATTAAATAAATTCAGATGATAGCAGGTGCACATTTTTGTGGTTTGTCTCGAGACGTGTAATTAATGATAGTTTTTGTAAAGTGAGAATTTCGCATCGTAACTAATCTTCTTCTTCATGTGCCTTATCCGGTCCCTCGGCCGTTGGCGATCACTTTGGCCATGATTTCCTCGCCATAGTGATATCCTGAATTTTAAATAAACTGCAATGACTTCCCGTTGTCTTCATCGTAACTGATAAATTGTCATAAGATGAATTGTTTTTTACGTTCTACTCGATCTTGAGAAAATAATCATGCCATCACGCAGAGTAGAACACTCTTTCTTCTGTATATGTATGTACGCGTTTTAATTTAATCTTTGCAATTCAACAAATAAGTTAAAGATACTACACGATTTCTGGCTCATATACGATCTCCAATGATATACTCTTCATATTTCTGCACTAAGAATTTTTATAAGATAAAAGTTTATTTAGCTTATTCGAAATTAGACGTTTAGTTGCGTCTACGAATAATCTATAGCCTCGGAAATCATCGCTAAACAAATATACGTATAATAATAGCTGTAAGATAAAAGAACACGTTCAAGAGCATCGAGCATTTCTTCCGCCGCTCGACACACGCACTCTTTCATTTTCCTACGCGCTTCATCGCTACCTCTTGGGCTCTCCGCTACAGCTTGGACATATTACACGAACAAAGGAGATTCCTCGCACATGCGCACTCGATTCCTAGCACTGGTAACGATTCTAGCTCCTGTTATAGCCTAGCGTACCCTCCGGTTCTCTCTCTCTCTCTCTCTCTCTCCCTATCTCCTCCTCCCTTTTCTTCTCTTTTACCAGCCACCGACTCGGCACAAGGTACGGAAGTAACTTCTATACACGAATGGAAAAGCAGTGCGCGAATGTGTGAATGTGTACATAAACGTAGAAAGGAGGTATAGAATGCCCGTTGCAATATTTGGGAATCATACCGAGATGAGCGTATCACGTGCGAATGCAGATTCAAAAGAAAACACATATCATTAAAAAATATATACAGAATGTATATACGAATGTATAATAAAAACGCGCGCGCGTATGTATGTGTGTGTGTGTGTCGTCAATACATACATTAATAATAAATAGATACGTAACGCACGCATACTTCAAAGCGGGATGGTAAGCAGAAATGAGAACGAACAGTAGATACGCACTGACACGAAAGAAGCTGGAAATGGAGCCTTTAGTTTTTATCGGCAAATAACAGACGTGATAAGCTATATCAAAGGTGCACTGTGAAACGGCATGCTGAAGTACTCGGTATTAATATCTAAACCAAATCGTTCTACGATACTATTCCAACTATTCCCCCTATTATGGAATCTCTGGAAATTGCTACCGTCGAAATTTTTAGAAAAGTATACGATCTATTAATTATTGCCATTCTATCAAAAGCATATAATCGCTAACTTGAATAAAAACTTAATCACGTAGGAAATGAAGACTTGCATCTCCCTAGAAGGAAAACAATTGTCGCACCAACAATGCATATATTTATTTATTCATCAATGTAATTGATTTACGTCGAAATTGTGATGAATACAAGAGATACTATTGTAACAATTTCCTTGTAGGAAATTGTATCGCAAAATTACGGATAACTGTGACAATTATAAGAAACATTTTATCATGGTATATCAAAGGTAACTGTTCCCGCATCCACGAGCGTAAATAGCTCGAAGCCATAGATTGTATACAAATCCGCCTAGGGTAACGGATCGTCTTACGAACGATTGAACTCTAGCGCCTCGTAACAGTAATTCTATCCTATCGGATGAAATGTACAATCACCCTCAAAGGTATCCCATTTATACGTTGTATAAATAGTACAGTCAACAAACAAGTGTCCGACTTACCATATACGCACTTAATCGCACGTTAAAATGCAAATTTCCGGATTTCTATCAATTACAACGTCGCGCTGTGGACATTAGAGGAAAGGCGTATATCATTCGCCATTGGCTACTTCGTGGCATAGAAAAGTCTTTTGTAACGCGTCACCCTACCGTCGAATCCCTACGTTTCGCCCTTGTCTCCAATCGCTAGTCCCTCTTTCCCCCCATCCTCTTTTCTCTACGAGCTCGCCGGTCCTTCCCCCTGGATATCCGTGGCTAAAGGTCTATATCGCGCGCCGTCAAACCTTTCCGAATTGCTCGTCGTCATGTTATGCAAACGGCCGCATTTTGTTATGATAGCACCTACCAGGAGGCCGTTCTCCATCGCCGTGTTGTGCCTCACAGCGCGCGACACGAAGAAGCTGCGGAGCACGCTCTCTCGGTGGAAAGCTCTCGCCGGTATGCAGCTGTACGGCTTACGCCGTGCCTGGGAGATCGTCGAACACATTTCCTCGTCCGGACAAGATCGTTCCGTATGTCAGTGTCGTACATTTCCGTAACTACGCAGACGACGTTCCTCCCGACGTCGAGCACGTATGGGCTTTCCCGCGAAAATATGAAACACCTTAAGACTTCTTTATCTTTCGCTTCCCCACTTCCCCGTGTAATGGAAAATATTTCGAAGATAGCGATGCGAGTATTGAAACAACGTTGTTTAATTTTTTTTATTGAATATATAAATATATATATATCTATTATAAATGCAATACGTTATAAATATGCTGTCGAATTTATTGTATATGAAACATTGTGAAAATTTTAGGTCAAATTCACGCGGCTGTACTGCTGAGTAAATGCACACTTATCACCGAAAGGTCGGCGATAAGTGTATATTGAGCACTGTTTGTTTAAAATAATTTAATGAGATTACAACAGCATTCGAGCAGATAATGATATCGTTGTTTAGAATTTCATTTGACGCCATAACAGTCCATTAAAGCGATAGCTCATTCTTTGATCAACGATTCAGAAAAGTTGCAATTCCTTTCAATTTACTATTTTTTTTTCAAATTATATAAATTAAATATAACACAAAATGAAAATTGTCTTACAATTAGCTTATTTGTTCATAATCCAAAATCTTCTGAATTTAAATGATTTTTGCACATTTATACTTTTTATATATTTTTTATTTACGTATGTTTTTATAAAATTTCAATAATCATCTAAATAAACATATTAAAAAAAAAATAAAAATAGAAAGCTTTATAAAAATGTAGTAATCCTGCTTTATTATTACTTGATTTTTGATTGAACAAATTAATTTCTTGTAAAGAAATACAACTTTAGCATAACGATCTAAAATATATTCACAAATTCGATACATTTATAATTATTAATAGCCTCATTGTATGTAAATTAGTTTATAAAATTACTTTAATATATAAATTCGAGTTATCGCAACAAGATGAAAACATATTACAAATATCTTTTTGCTAAATAAACATTTTAGACTTCAATAAATATATACGTGTATATATATATATATATGTATACTCTATTGCATTTTAATTACAAATATTAAATACAAAAAATTTTTATACTCTAGAAAATGCTTATTAAATAACATCAATTAAAGATATTTATCACATATCGAACGTAAATTGACAAAATTATATTTCTACTCAGTCGTGAACATTATTCACATGACTTTAAAACTGGTAGGCGAAAGCTTCATATAAAAAGTACAATATATATTCAACGCTCCTGTATATTTATATTTTCGCACTATATAAAGTCTACGGCAAAAATTCCAATTTCGCGTACGGATTAATGCAGATGAACATACTTGTAACTTATGAGGAACAGAGAGATAATGTTTTTCTCATAAATTTTTCTTCTTTCAAATGGTTATCATCATAGCAACGTGACGCATCGGGCAATATTCCCATACAATATGGCCGCACAAACCTTGATTTTTCCTTTGAAGTTATAAGTGGTAATCGTGAACATCCACAGTATGCTGTATGAGATCTTAATTTAATCATTTCAATAAATTTTTTTCGTTCGTTTTTTGCAATGCAAATTAAAATGAATAATGAACGGTCTATATTGAGCTAAATGGATTTAATATTGTTCTTAAATTTTATAATAAAATGAGAACATAAAGTGAAAAACTAACTAAAGTGTCGTACGTTTCGGAACTCACAGGTCCTTCTTCAGTGATTCTTACAGATGTTTGTGTCGTTGAATTGATAAGACGTATAGATGTTACAATTGATCTATGTTCAACTCGATCAAACAAACTTGAAATGATGGTCCTGTTTCGCCTGCCTTTAGAATACACTCGCATTGAGAACAGAACAATCAATTCGAACTATATAATTATTATATCAGCATGCTGTATCGCATCATCACACATATCATAAGAAAATATTATTAATCCAAAGATACAAACATCTGTAAGAATCGCTGAAGAAGGGTCTGTGAGTTCCGAAACGTACTACACTTTAATTAGTTTTTCACTTTATGTTCCCATTTTATTATAAAATTTAAGAACAATATTAAATCCATTTAGCTCGATATAGACCGTTTATTTATTTTAATTAATCATTTTATCTATATTTTCTTTGTTCAATTTAAAATCATCTTTTCTTCAACGACAAAAAAACTCATCGTTTATTATAAATTTAAATTTTCAATATCGATTCAAATTTTAGATTCAATTATAAATGTATTTAAAATTAAATCTATTTTAAATTAAACGGAAAATAAAGTTTTACTATCTATTTATATTTTCAAAATTTATCTTTTACAAAAAATTTGTATTTTTATCATAATTTGTAAATTGATAATCATTTGATGTGTTTGCTAGAATAACAACTAAATCTCCAAATCTATTAAAGAATCGATAAATAAAAAATAAATCGAATAATTTAATATCTAATACACACCCCTTTACAGCAGACAGTTTTTAAATAATCTATTTACTTAAGATGCTAATAAACCATATAAAGCATATACGAGATCATATCTCTGCGGAATAGACTGCGCGCCGCCGCACCGCGCCGAAGGAAACAAAGGGACATACAACATCCTTTATAACCCGCATGTACACTTTATTGGAATTTAACTTTCACATGGAGAATAAACATTTATCTTCGACTACAACAAGCACTTCTTGTCGTTTATATATATAGTCATGGAAGACAAAATCGAATCCTGAGACTTTAAACGTTTTAAATGTTGAACACGTCCGTGTGATAAAATTCACGTGACATAAATAAAAACTATCTATTGCAGCGAGAAAACTAAGCAATAATATATCTCTGTATATACATCGGTAGCCTTGATTGCAGATTTATGTGACTGGTAATAAATAAAATGAATTATGCATCGATTACTATGTAGAACAATAATTACTAAGATTTTCTTTCTTTATTGAATTACGATCTCATTCATTTCATAATAAATAATAATTAGATTTATTAAACGTCTATATTTAAAAGAAAATTAAAGAAGAAATTTAATTAAAAATGTGACAATGTGTGCGCCTCAGAACTCCAGAGTCGATTAATTAAAATCTAGTTTAGTTATCCTTCACATAGCGCCAATTTAAATCAATTTCAGCATAAAAGTTCAAGAACAAAACACATCGATAAAAAAAAGGGATAAAAATGTGTGTGACGTTCTTTATTCTGATACGGTTGATTTTCGTATAAGATACGATGGTCAAAGCCTTTACTTTCACTTGACTCAGCATGAAACAACATCGTAATTTACACACGTTGAAAAAAAATCTTTGATTCTTGCGTCAGTCTTGCTTTTCTTTTTCTGTGAATCGGGGAAAACTTATTGCCTTTATAATAATGAAAAAAAATGCGCAATACGCGCGACAAAGGGTTCAATGAAAGTCCGAACGTGAAAAAAATGGATTTCTCGAAAGAGTTAAAGTTACAAAAAGGAACTAGAAGAGGAAACGCCACATAATTTTCCAGTTTGAAACGGCAATAAAAAAGACAAAATTTGAATTCCCCGTATAATTTGTATTCAGTATCATAGAAGAAGAGAAAGAATAAGAAGAAGAAGAAGTGCAGACAACAAAATACCTAAAATATTTAAAATTTAAATTTTTTAAAGAAATATAATAGGCATCGTGAATAATTAAAGAAAATCAAATATATTTAAACATAATTGTATAATCATAAAAAAAATATAAATATTTCAAAATATGAAATTATAGTATTACGTTCTTTCGCGCATCAAAATGTTTTTAAGAAATATTTCCACAAAAATACATAATGCATTCATTTGCAATATTTTTATGTCACACATATAATAATGTACTTTTGATTACAATGTTATACCGCTGATCCGCGGATATGTATCAAGTAATATTAAAGTTATCCCTTCAAAAGAAAATGTGAAAGTGTAAACGAAGCTGTATAAATTTGTTCCCTTTCTAAAGTTAAGTGTTAGTCAAATCCTCGATGAGCCGATATCAAATACCTTAAATTGTAAGATATCGTTTCAGGATAGCCATCGCGTAAATGTACAGCGATATTTGGAATCGACTGGCCTGCCTGAGGATTTGAGTGGTGTGATGGCTTCGGCACGCGACATAACGGGGTACGCGCCGCCGTGTGACCATAAAATAAACGTTTGGGGTGGCGCAGGCGGAGGCCAAACCTGGCAGCGTATAAACACTTATATAACGGCAATTAAACTGCTTTTAAGGCCCATAAAACTGCAGTTTCAATAATCTCTGTGACAACAGGATCCTGACCTGTCTCTGAAAACCTGGCTTCCCTCGGTAAATGTCAAAAGCGGTCACGCCGTACCGACGAATATAAAAATTTCGATCGTTGTCTCCCTCCCGTACTCTTCAATTTTTCGATCGACTGCGTCGACCCCCAGTGTCTAGTTTTTACGACTAGTTTTGTACCCAACCTCCAATTTTGCACGCCTTAGAATACTAATGTTCCCTTACAGCTAGACGTTCCACACAGAGTTTAGAGGCGAGAAACACGTATAGATATTAATAGTACATCGAGAAGGCAATGAGTAAAAATAGGAAAGTGAAAAGCGCGCACGGGATCGCAGCATAAAGCAGAATTCCGGATGAAATTTGCTGCGGATAAAAGTTCGATAGAGGCTATTCTTTTTCTAGCCGATGCTGGAATACCTGCTGGATGCTGATGCGACTCAGGCGAGGGAGGAAACGTTTACGTGTGAGAGACGGGGAGAACCGACGAGATCGGAGGCGGGAGAATACGAAGAGAGGTCCAGGTAGGGGAGGCGGGGGCGATGAAATGGGATAATACCGACGCTGCAGGACGCGGCAGCCATCATCGAATGCTAATGAGGGGTTGGCGGCTTTTGGGGCAGTGGACTCTACCCGTAGAGTGGTGCGCCGTTGTCGGCGGATCGGCCTGATTATAAATTATACATTATCTCCTGCTAGTCCCCATGTACACACCGTAATCCAGCTAGACATTTGCAGGCCTCTGAACCCCCCAATGTCAGAATATGTTCGCGTACCAGAGACAGATTAGAAATTCGTAGGTCGTCCACGCTAACAATTCCGCTTGGTTACCACGTTCAGCGTCACGTTAGCCGGTGTAATTTTAATTTCAACCGAACGTGAACAACATTCTCAAATTTTCGTGATCCTGGAATTTCATTCTCAAACGCAAACTAATCCGTGGTTTTCGAAAAGATCTTACATCACAAATGAAAAACTCATTTAATCGTATCCGCGGTACGTTATTAATATGAATTTTTTTAAACTGATTGCAATCATGTCTGATGTACTTCAATTAGTATAGTATTTGAAAATACATATATTATAGTATTGCATTCGTAATTGATGCGCATCGTATGAAAGAAACGCGAATTACAATTAACTATATCACATAATATTCAATACAATATAAAACAATTGGCGAAGAAATGATTTCCTATATGGAAAAGAAAAAAGACAGAATAAAGTTTTTATCTGCTTTTGCTTTTCAAGAAACATAATACTGAATAATAAATAAGACAAATTTGTTTGACTCTGTCTCTCATTCTTTTCTTTTATCACAACTTACAGGATACTTTATATCTTCGAATGTTACAAATTTTAATGAGATGCATGGATGACCCCAAAGGATAAGTTAAAAAAAAACTGATTCTAAATCTCAGAGCATAGCACATTCATGTATTAACCATATACTGAATCAATGAAAACAACGAAGAATAAGGTTGTAAGTAAAAATAGAGATTTTACGAGCACATGAATTTAAAATAAATACGATAAATATAACAATGTTACAAAATGTGTTGCATCTATATACTATCTCATAAATTTTTTTCTTCTTGTGTAGGAAACGAAATATCTATGCGTCACGACAATAATAAAATTTAACTAAAGTTAATTAAAATTAGAACATTTTATATTTTTTTATTACTTTTATATAACTTTATATTAGAGAAAAGTCATTTTCCTCGCATTCTAGCTCTCTTCAGATTTCTCGAGATACGTAGATCTCATATTAATTTATTTTTCGCGGTTATGATTTATTTAATATTTTATGTGTAACGTGAAATAGATCACTTTCTTCTTCTCTCAAAGAATGATCTATTTTTCAAAATTGATATAAACATGATCACACTCAATTTATAGTTTGTTATCAATCTTTTAAAAGAATTGTGGAATCTAGATATATATTTGCATCTAAATACATGAATTAAATGAATTTCCATTCAAAAAAAGTTATTCACATTCTTTGATTAAAATCATTTAATTAATTTATAATATCCACGAACATATGGTTTTAATATTCCATTTTAATTTACTGCTCTCTATTATTTTACGTATATTATTATCTAATCGCTTCAAAATTATCATTGTATTTCACATTATATTTTATTCGGTACATAATAATTATTAATTTAAAATAGAATATAATAAATTTGTTATAATTCGATTTTAATAAAATACTACAGTATCAACTTGATTAGAATAGCGTAACTTGAAATATACATGTAGATTGGCTAAAGCATGTGATTAGTAGGAAACGCAGCTAAACGTATAAATGTATAACGGCGAACGGATATTCTGATTTATCGACCGATTATACGTATGCAGAAATAGATATACTCTGTTTGAATATATCGGAATGTAATTTCCTACCGGAGTAAGCATTCCCTCTGCACAGTTGGGAGACTTCGTACAGTGATCGCCAATGCCTATTTGAAATTATGATCCGCCTGATGTAAACAAACCATCGCGATAAAAGCCGTCGGTTGAAGTTTTAATTTTATCTAATCGGTATTTACTGCGCTATTGTGGGCTCGTAAGTGGCTGTATAAAAGATAGTCATGGAGATTATTCGCGGCTAACATTATCACGGTGACGACAGGTGAAGTTGCCCATATACATGTCCTTCTTGCATGCACAACTAACATAAATGAATAGGGTAAGAACTTAGCGTGTGCCGCCCGGTAGCGCGATTCACGTAAATGATCCGAATGATGACCTTGATACCTCGACACGCTTGAAATTACATCATTTTTTTTTATCGTAGACCGATGATTAACCATTCATTAAACGTACGACTGGACGACAGCATCATAATTGCACTATCAAACGGACGGAAACACTATTTGTATTATTAATTTTGAAAATATAATACGTGTTGAATCTGGATAATATCAATGTTGAAAAAACGTAAGGAAAGGACAAGTTATGACTTTCGGGAAAAAGAAAACAGCTATAATGTCCCATACAACTATAAGTACCACTTCTGTATACAATTAAACTGAAGAAAGAAATGTGACTAGCATATGGAGCGTAACTTTATATTTGAGAAAAGTCATTTTCCTCGCATTCTAGCTCTTTTCAGATCTCTCGAGATACGTAGATCTCATATTAATTTATTTTTCGTGGTTATCATTTATTTAATATTTTATATATAACATGAAATAGATCACTTTTCTCTTTTCTCAAAAAATTATCTATTTTTCAAAATTGGTATAAACATGATCACTCAATTTATAATTTGCTAATCACATTAATATAAAATCATTTATCACATTTAAAATTTAATTAACTTTTCCATTTAAAAAAGATGTTTTTAAGTATTCACAGAAATATGGAATATATTATATAAGTATATACATATAATGCATATAATACATATATGTATTATATATAAATATATATTTATATGCAATGCAAATAATAGCTATAATAGTATAAAAGCATTCCAATTAGTAACAGTAATTTGTACTCACCGCAAACCACTCTGTCAAATGGACTCATCCAATCTGAAAAATAATAAAGTTTATTAGAATATCCGTACAAAACTGTCAAACGCGCGCGTCTGCTTTGGCAATCACATACACACACACATACACATAGCACACATCTTTGTTTTCTTTTCGTGATATCAAGTGAAATAATAGAAATCAGATTCATGCGCAGTTTGAAGCTATAAAACTACGCATGCAATTGAGATAAGCATATAACATGACACAGAGCACGATTCCTTAAGCGTATTATAATAAATTCGCAAGATATGATTTAAATGCATATTTATATTAAAAAATACGATGTAAAACATTAAAATAATAAAGGAACAAAACGAAAAATTATGCAACTCTTACAATCTTACAAGGAACGAAAATCTAAGAGACACGTATTGCATTTTTTTTAACGCTAATTCATGTCTCTTAAATTTTTGTGTTTAACAATATATTTCAAGGAGACTCAAATCCGAGATCAAATCTGTTCCAGGTAGTTGTGAAACGTCCCTTGTTAATTAAAGAAAAACAAATTTCGGGCGGTTGGATATGTCCAAGATTAACTCTCGCAGATAAATTGATATTAATAATTTGTAAGAATCTTCAAAGTTTCTGTTGACTTTCTAAATTAAAAATCAAAATGTAAGAAAGAATCTCTGTCAAGATAAGTGCTGTGACGTACATTCAAATCAGCTAAATTTGCACGATGACGTATGAACAAAAATAGGTATGTAATAATCTGTGAGAAGACTATATACGTTAATAGTAAGTTATTACTGCATATTATTATTTTAAAAAATATAAGAATTTATACAAATTATTATAAAAATGTAATATCCGTTATTCACAATTAAATTAATATTCAATGAGTTTCGAACAATATCCAAAATGATATTGATCGATGAACAGGAGAAACAGAAACTCACGAATTATTAATGTGATTCTGATTCAAGCCTCACAAACTGAAATTGTCTGACACTATAGTCGGCTGAATCATTCACCTCTCTTCACAAGAGACATAAAGCTATTCTTACATACTCATAAAATAGATAAGGGACTTATTGACGCATGAATAGACATACGATGGTAAGAGTGTTCAAAAAACTGTAAACCCTTCAGAGAGATTAAAAATATATCAAGCGGAAAAGAGAGTGAGGATAAATAAAATTAGAAATCATATTTGTATCACGACAAAACAAAAATCATATCACATTAGTTTGCTGTTCATTTAGAAAACGTGTGAAAATATGATATTATCGAAGAGATAATGAAAAATTTTCTTTTAAAGATAATGCTATAAATATTACAAAAAGTTTAAACATAATGCGGCATTATTAGATGTTAATTAAATATCAATTGATAATTTAACTATAGCATTACAGAATTCAATAAAACAATATATTAAAATAATCGGAACGTGAAATTAAATTATCTTGAAAGTCATGAGAAAATCAATCATATATACCAAAGAGATATGTCGCGGTATAATTCATAAAAGCGATTTAGCTTTCTATAGATAACATCCACGTAAACACAGGTCTCGATCGATTAAAGATCAAGAAAAAATGATTAAAAATCGATGACCAATTCGATCGTTATTTAGTCTTCACAGAGACGCGTAAGACAATAATAAGTAAGTAGTAAAGAATATGAAATTGAATTATGTCACTAATCAACGTTATCGCCACGCGCATTAGAAATTACACGAGCACGATCATGATATTCGCAGCAGGCGAATACATACAGGACCTCACGAGTTGGCAAAATGGAAAGTTAACGCGTTAACGTCAAGTATTATTATAACGTGTTGATAGGGAAACGGGCTTCGGAAAATAATTTGCATATTCAAAGATTACAACTTAATCGCAATATATTCCGCGATCCTTCGCCCCGTGCGGGTGTATGCCTTGTATTATATTACTGTATGCTAACGCAAGTATGTACGTTGGTATAAACGCACGAGAGAGAGAAAGAGAGAGTGGAACCAACCTCAAAGAAATTTCATTGTAAATACACGGTAAATATAAGAGCTGGCCTAAAAAGTAGTACGCGTTAAATTCGTTCGTTGAGCGAATTTCACCCAAGTCGGCGTTGCATATCCGGATGTGACAAATATGGCGATTGTTGCAATTGGAGTTTACGCCTAAAGTCTCAACCAAGTACCTAGTAAGATAGATTTTTAACGTTCGTGCACAAAGGAAACCGCGAATCGACAAGTTAGCCGGTTTCTAGTTCTACCGCACTTCCAACGGAGTGAACCAGGCTCCTTTTCATACTTCTTGGAGTTATTTTGCGCACCATTGGTAGGTACAATGTCACAATAATATCAAACACGCGAAAAAAAAAGAACCAACTAAACGTGCCGTTTTATTTTACTGCAAAAATGTGCAGTTTTCGCGTCAGCCAGTCGACGTCGAGAACGCGACAACAGACTGGCCCGTATAGTCGCGCTGTGTTATTCGCCGCAAATATATACGATAAATACCGTCGGTGCTTTGTCCTAGCCAACACCTCTCAGCAGACAAAGACTTCTCGACAAGGCACACGTACGATGTATTATGCACGACATTGGAATAACTTCAAGTTTCGTGTGGTAACAACAGCGCTTCTAACAGGGACTCTAATTCAACAATGTACGCAGTGCATTCTTTAAGTTGACGTTACGTTCGTGTATTCTTCGAAGATTGCTTGTTACATTTCAAATTACAATGCAAATTATTTTCGTCAGCGCTGCTACATTTGCAATTACAATACACAGCGAAGCTGCGTTTCATGTAATCTCAAAACAGTAGATATTAGAAACAAGATTTCTTTACTCTCTCATATATATATTAATATTCTCTATATTAATATTAAGGAAAGTTAAGCTAGTTCTATATTCATAAACAGCCTTTTGCATTTTTACAATCATAGAATATACTCTTGAAAAACTCCAGAAAATTTCTACGTATGTATATGTATATGTTTCTAATACGTACAATTATAAAACAGCTGATATAGAATATAATGTCATTAATCTCCCACTCTTCATCGAAAACACGTGTAAAGAAAAAAAGAGGACACTTGCGCGTAAAGCAAGGTGTCGATTCCTGGCCGAGGTAATATTTTTCGCAATAAGAAGAAATATTTTTAGATTTAATATTTTCAGATTATTAAAATTGCGTTTCAAGACCGACGATTGTTCGGCGCGCAGTTTGGGGGGACTACGTATATTAGTTAATTATTAATTTATTTTAATTCGTGATAGTACCGCGGTAGTTTCTATGTAAGCAATTAAAGATCCAAGCTAGACTGTTATAGGCTTCGTCTTTGTATTAGTTATGTTCTCAAAGAAATAAAATTGTACACAATAATATATCGTTTTCAGAAAAGTATTCCATATTTACATATTCGTACCTACAATGTTTATATAATCAAACCGTTATCTAGACTTCTCGACACAATTATGATAAGGCTTGTGTACTTTACATAGAAGTTTAGAAATTAATTGCTCGTATGTCCTCGATTCATCACCAAAGTAGTAAACCGTGTCTAATATAAAATATTTCTATTTTTTAATACAAAACATTTGTACTTTAATTTATAATGCAATTTGTAATTTGAGAATTAAGAAAAACGCATTTCTTTTTAATTCAATCACTCTCAAACAGATTTAAAGTAGGAATAAAAATAATTAATTAATAATTACATATTTTTATATTTTTCTATCTTCCTGCACAATATAATTTTATAAATAAAAATTGACTAATTTACATATTAATATTACTATACATATATTTAATAAGTACGGTAGTAATTTAATAACAATAATGTATGTAATATTGTTAATGGTTTCGCTATTTATTTTTTATTCAATCAAAATTATCGTAAATAAATTTAACGTTTCTCGTCGATATCACGCTGGAAATTTCATGCGATCATTCTTCATGCAATATAAAAATATATCATCACATTCAATCTATCTGTACATTATCAAAATACAGAAATAGACGTGCATCACTTTCACATTTAAATAATTAATTAAAATAAACATTTGTTAATGAGAGGTATAAATTAAATAGAATAATTAGATTTAAATTTATACATAGAGTTATGACAAAAATCTCCGCGTTCTAATGATATATTTAAACAAAGTATGTAAAATATTAGATGCATGTGTCTCTACTTTTAAAAAGCATTTTATTATTCGTAACAGAGAAGAAAATGTGACGATGAAAGGAAAAAGATAGCCGGCACGATGCGTGCCGTCGCTTAAAGAGCGTGTAGAGTCAGGAACAATAGAAAGGTTAAAAGAAGGTAAAAATGGCAAGTTTTGAAAGCCATACGAAAGACTCACCGGTGATAGACATCCATGGATACCGGGGTATATCCGAGATGCCAGGTTGACCTGTGGTGGGTTGTTGGCAGGACGTCAAAGGATCGACAACGGCCGATGCGGCAGCCGCCTGATGGTAGAACTGTGCCGCCGCTGCCATGGAGGCCGAGGCGGCCGAGACGGCCGAGGATGCGGACGCGGACGAGACGAGGCTACCGGGCGTAGCGCCGTTCTGATGATGGTGGCCTAGGGTATAGTTAACCATAGGGTCGGCCGATGCAGGTGCCACATTGCCGGTCAGACTAGCTGTGTAACGGCAAGATTTGTCGCCGGCGGTCGCGGCGTCGACGGCAGCGGCGGCAGCCAGAGCGGCGCTGGATGCCGCCGTGGAGCCGAAACCGGGCACCATACTCGACGTGGCACCGAACGCAGCGGCCGCGACCGCTTGCTGCTGCTGATGATGATGATGCGCCGCTGCGGCGGAGACGTACGGATACATACTGGATGTGGTGCGTGCCGCCGGTGACGTAGAAGCGGAGCTTCCCGAGTGCTGGGGACTCGAACCCGTCGGGCTCGGTGAATTGTGCTGCTGTGCGTAATTGACTGCCGCGGCCGCCACTGCAGCCGCGGATAAACTCGATTCTAGGCTCGCGGTGGCCGGACTCGTCGTGCACGCCTGAATCGTACCTGGAGTCGCGCTTGAGAACAACTGTTGAGGGTGGAATTGTTGGTACTTGGCAGGTAGCATACTATCAATTATGAATTTCGTACTCATATCGCCTGCGTCGGTGCCGATGTGCGGACTTGATGCCGAAGACACGCCCGGGCTAGCTAGACCGGGACGAGTGTCTCAACACCGACACCGTGGCGACGCGTCCACCGGCTGCCGTTGCCTCATCGCCGCGCGTAATCCGTTTCGCACGGATTACGACAACTCTCTCTCTCTCTCTCTCTCTCTCTCTCTCTCTCTCTCTCTCTCGATCTCGATCTCGACTGGAGAAGCTGTGTGTGGAAAACGCGCGCACTTTCCGCTCGCCGGCGCCGCTCGCTGGAAATCCTTTGCGCTTTATTGCTTTCCGGGTCCACTATCGCTAGTATCGCTTTCCTTATCGGCCATCAACGTCCACTTTTACTGCCACTTACGCAACTCAGCACATTATCATCACAACAACAATATCCCGAACACGGCGGGATGCGGTCACCGGGGACGACTGACCACGAATCACCGAGCATCCGCGATGGCAAATGACATGTCCCTCCTCTCGATCACGGGATTCGGCGATCACGCGGAATCGCGGGATCTTGCCGTTTGCAATTTTCAATCCGATGCCTCGGTACGTAATCGCACCTTTCGATTACGAATCCATCCGTATCGGAATAAGAATCGACGATAAAGCGACGACGACGACGACGACGGCAGCGGCGGCGGCGGCGGCGGCGGGTCCTTCTTCTCGCCGGGCCCACCCAATCGTGGTCCCAGCTCGGAAATTGGGCGACGGTGAACCCGGCGACGGCACGAGGAGAGAGAAGAGAAGAGCGTGGCCCCTGTCAGGTGTTAGAAGCCGTTTCTTGCGTACTTCTCGGATAGTCGACGAATCCTTTATGGGCCATGCATGAAGGTACTATAGCCCCCTATCCCGAACGCCGCGTACTACAACCCACGGCCAGCTAAATGTAACCCCTTACAATAATGGCGCCGCTTGTCTCTCCGTTCTGTTCCCCCCTCTCCTTCCACGAGTCTTGAGCGCGCCGGGGTACCAGCTGGTAAACAGAGCCGTCCAATGGTGGCGCGGCCTCACCAGAGGTGGACCAATCGCGTGCCTGCTAGGCGCGCCAAGATGAATGGGGTCTCTTTCTCCGTCGGTTCTCCTCTCGCTCCGATCTTCGCTCACGCCAATACCTCGTGCTCTCTTCCTTCGCTTGCCGACTTCGGCCACCTATCTCTCTCGCTTCCTCTCGCTCATCGTATACCCAGCGTGCTCCGTCCGTTCGTCCGTCCGTACGTTTGCCTCTTGCCAGTGCAGTCGTGCTCGCCACGTTGCCTTATACCTTGCAACGTTTCAACGTCTCACACGGTATTTTCTGTCCTCCTTTACGTCTCTTCACCCCTCTCTCACACTCTCTCTCTCTCTCTCCCCTTTCGTTTGAGTGCAATCTTTTTTATCTCATTTTTACTCTACCTCTTCGCCGAAATTATTTTTTTCTTTTTTTTTTTTATCTCGTCAAGGTGGCACTTTTTCAAATTTCTGCTTCGTACGCATTATTTGCTTCCTATTTAGTCTATTAATTCTAACATAGACTGTCTTTAAGAGAATAAATCTTGAAATACTCTAACGTAGGTATGTATCTCATTTGCGACTGTTTCTTTTATTACTTCTTCTATCGTGTAGTAGCATTATTTTTAACTAAACAAAATTTTTTTTTTTTTCTTAATTTGTTTTGGTCAGATTTCTCCCTTTCATCATTTTTTATTAACAATTCAATATGTATAATGACAACTATAATAATCTTTTGAAGCAATAGGCCTCTAAGATGCCGCACATGTTTTATATATTTATATTTAATATAGTCAACACTTATATCTTCTTTAGCAGAACATAGGTATCATATATTAAACAAAACAATTCTATTTAGCCTCTTGTAATTACAAAAAGTATTTATTTGAAGATTTATTATTTTCTTTATTATCTAAATCTCGGCTCTTTTCAATTAACAGATATTTTTATTTTATATTTATTTGCGGTTTGAGCGGTAATTTACATAAACATATATTATGTGTATCACGACTGAGCGTATCGCGTTAATAAAGAATTTATTTTCAAGATGATCCTCTTTTTGTCACACTGAATACAATCGTGTGTGCGTATGTGTGTGTGCGCGCGCGTGTTTGTGTGAATCATCATCAGGACTAATAAAAGCAGCATTTCATGAAAAACATCTTGCATTGTGTATCTCATTCCTCGCTTTATGTCTTCTCGTAAAAGAATAGAGTCATGAATAACAATTACACAGATCACTAATACAACGATATAGACAAGACACTTTAGATAATTGCCTCTCTCAATCCGCAGAGAGTATATATGCACAACTTCAAATCCCTGTCAAAAACATTCGATTCGCGCGCGCCTTTCCTTTCCTCCTTCTCCGCCTTCTTTTTCTCTTTCCCTTTCACGACTGCTTTTGCCAAGTATTGCAGAAACTGGCGCGATTCGGCCACCGTCGAATTGTCGACTCGTCGACTTTTGGAAACCACTGAACTCGTCCCGGTCGGGATATCGCAGCGGCATTTCTATGTGAGAGAATGGTTGCGGGGGCGAGAGGAAAAACACGGCTTTGCGAGAGGGAGCGGCTTACGTCGGTGGCGAATACCATGATAGAAGGTGTACCGGGAATATCGCACGCGAAGGTAGTAAGGTGCAGAGAGCGGGTAAAACTTACAGCCTGGATTCTGGCGTTTCTTACGATGGACAGCTCATTTTACACACCCCATTTTGTTAGTAAAACTTCATACGCGCTTGAAACACTTTTCTCTAATAGAGAGCATATATTTATTTATCACACAATTATCGTATTGCTTCAATTATTAATCTTCTGATAATTCGTTTAAATTAATAGACAAAATTAAAAAATGTCGCTTTTTATCGTAGAATATACCTCGAGAGATACAAAAGCATTTCTTCTTTCTATGAATTCGCAAACATTTCGGCACTACGCATAAAAGTGAGAAAGACAGTTTTATATAATTTAGTAAGTTATAGAACTTCTAACTACAAAAACTACCTTTCACTTTGTAATAAAAATTATAATTCTGATTCTCGTAAATTCTGATAAATCGTTTTCATATTCATTAATCGCAATACGAAGAATTATTAAAAGAGAGAGGACTTACCTGTCACATAAGTATTTTTGCACAAATATGCGCAATTTGTATGAACATTATATGAATTAATTAATAGTAATTAAGCGAGTTTATAGTTGCATTTATGAAAAAACTAGGAAACGATACAACACTAAAAGTACTTACCATACGAAGTGTTGGCTGAGTGATGACGTAAATCCCGTTGTCTGAAATTAAATTCAGAGAACATTAATTCTGATACACCGAAGAATAAAACATAGACAGTTTGATATAAAATATGAATTGAAATATGAATAATAATATATATTTTCGGATTTAATATACGAAGGTAAATGTATTCGCCATTACGACCCTCCTCGTTTAAAATATCGTCTGTCGGCTGTTCAATATGGCTTTCATGTAGAGAAATGAACGTCCGCAGTTCTTTGTGTCTGGGCGGTACGATCAATAACAGAAACCACAAAAAATGTTACGTGGGTATACCGGTTAAATAATTAATTATGCGATTAAACGTCATGGTTATTAAAAAGAAATAAACGCATAATTTGGTATTGCATATAAAATTATTTAATAACATAATTAATGTGTATGTTAGTAACAATTTAATAATTTATAACATAATGTATATGCTTTATTTCTTTTCAAACTTGCTATATTTAATTTTTTAAATAAATATATGTTTTGATATTAAAATGACAAAAATATATGTAAGGCAAATTAAAAAAAAATTTTAATATATAATTTAACAATTGTGGCAAAACGTGTAATGTCATATTAATAAGTTTACGTATTAGATGAATAAATTAGAAAAATTATTAATTTCATTCATTATAATATCTTGAAAAATATTAAACTGCAACTTTTGTTATTTTTTTTGTTTTCCCTTACGTTATACTAAATATTAATATTCTTCAAAATATCATAAATATAGATGTAAGAGACGCAATTGATACATTCTTCAGCTAGTAGAAGTACAATCGCGAGTGATGAGTTGAGACAAAGGGATTTCAAGAATGTAATCCCAGAAAACTGACCGGTACAGTCTGACCGGTTCAATTATATCAACGATCGCTCGTCGGATCTCGACGTCTTTGCTCGACTGGATAAGGCACGAACACGAGAGCTGTCAGAGCAACACATACATACATTCATGTACAGATGCAACACCCACACTGGGGGCGAACGTGTGGGCACACATGCGGTGTTCGTCTGCGACGAAGACACGCGTGTACCTGTCTCAAACATCACGGAATATAAATTGCAAGCACGTCAAGTGCGCGAAGCTACAAGAGAGATGGAGAAAGGTAAAAATCTATACATGTGTGTATATGGGTGTGTATATTCGCGGAGAGGTGTATGGAGGATAAAAAAGAAGCGATCCCCGCCTGAAACATGGAAACGTATCGCTATGCCGAGGACTCGCTGGACACGTCGAGTCCTTCGGCGAATCCGCTCAAGACACTTTTTGGCGAATGAAAGAGAAGGACAGCGGGTCGAGTCGCAAAAAGGAGAAATTGGGCGGCGGTCGGTGGGTGCTGATCCTGGAACCCATTCGGGGAGACGCCCTAGTGATTGGGGAAGAGCACCTAGTGCGCCATCTCCGGGAAGATAAAAGCAATTCGCGAACCCTCGACTGTGTATCGATATCTTTTGCCTCGGCAAACGATGTTAGAGCTCGAAATATGAAAATCTTCTAGGAGCCTATAGATCGATGTATGAATCAAGATGTATAGACAGAGATTTATATCGGCGATAAATTTATAGAAGAAGAATTAATGAGGTCTCTAGTTACATAATTTTATTTTACATAATTGTTCAATAAAATATTGTGCATTCATTAAATATCTGTTCATCATATCATTATTTGTTTTGTACGTTTAATAATTTTGCTAAAAAATATTTTGCATTTGAACCTTTTATTTTTTATTAATACGCATGTTACAAATAATTCTTAAATTTTTATGATTCGTAGAAACGTAAAAATAAAACCTATAAAATAATGTGTATTTTAATACATATACATATAAATATTACATGTGTGCGTATTTGATATGAAATAAATTATTGTCCTAAATTTTTAATGCATTTACTTTCCGTAAAAAAATTACCACGCGTATTATGTAAACAAAATATATATTCAATAATTATTTAATAAACTATTAATATTAAATTGGCAGAGCGACAAGTCTACCACTACCTTAATTATACTGACTAACTTAAACTTCTGGCCCTCCAAATATCCCAGAAACTTTCCTGGAGGGCAGATGTAATATGCATAAGTATATAACAATGTATTAACATCATCTGAGTAAAAAATAATGAAAAAAAAGTGTTAATAGTTGATAAAGTCTACAGTTTCATAGAGGAAAGTTATATGTTATGATACTCAAGGTCAAGGTTTTCTAATCTGCCTTATCGACTGAACTAATGAAAAATCAACATTTTATTTTGTGAAAAATTTGTGAAAAAACTTTATCAGATAACTTTTCACTTATAGAAATGTATGTAAATAACAATGTTGCATAATTGCA